GAAGTACACTGCTGAGGGGAGCAGCGGGCGGGTCAGGAGAGGTCTGCCACGCCATGTGGTCACCTCAGGGGCAGGCGGGGATCGAACTCATGCGGAAGTGGCTTTGACTTCTTAGTGCTGTGCTTTAACCCGCTGCGCCACCAGGGAGGGCCAGATCTGAAATATTTTTAACTCCCAATCCCAAATACATGAGGTATAAAAGTTTGTTCCAACTTTGTTGAGTTTATTTGTAGGCTTCCCACTGTGCCCAGGGGTTAGGAGTAGGAGGTATAGATTAACTATCAGAAACCCACTCTTGTGTATGAAAAGAAAGGTTATTTGATTGGGCCCCATTTAATTTATCCCCTTAAAATTCACTTTGCTCCTTGACCTCAAAGAGAAATCTACATGGAAGTGTGGCAGATATATATTTAATGTCATTTTTTCAAGGACTTTTATATAGCCAAGTTATAAATGTGTCTTTGTATTAGTGTACCAACAGAGTATCACAGACTGGGTGCTTGAAATAATAAATTGTTTTATTTTCCCCTTGATTCTGGAAATTTGAAGTCCATGATGATGGTATTGATAATTTAGTTTTCTGCTGAGGCCTCTTTACTTGACTTGCAAATGGCCACATTTCTGTCCTCACATGGGCTTTCTTTGAACATGCGTATCTCTGGTGTTTCTATATGTCCAAATTTCCTCTTCTAATGAGACACCAGTCAAACTGGATTAGTGCCCACATTAAGAGCCTTACTTTAATCAGTATTTGAAGGCCCTCTCTCCAGGTATAATCACATTCTGAGATGTACTGGGGATTGAGGCTTCAACATAAAGAATTTGGGAGTAATACAATTTTGCTTATAATGTACTGTCTGGTCGCCCCAATTTCTGTCCTTCTTACATTCATTACCATTACAGTAGCCCAAAATTCTTAATCCATTCCAACATTAACTCTAAGCCCCAAATCTCACCAAAGTAAAGTATAGATGGATTCAAGGTATGTTTTAACCTACGGCAAAATTCTCCCCCTGAAAACCTTTGAAAACAAATAGGTTATGTGCTTCCAAAACACATCATAGAAAATTGGTTCCCATTCCAAAAAGAGTTTTGGTATGTGAGAAAGACTAAAATCCAGCAGTGCAAATTCCACTGGAATTCAGAGGTTTTGAATAACTTTTTTTGACTTGATGTTCTCTACTTAAGGCCCACTGGGATAGGGTCCTCACCCTCTGTATAATATCCTCATTTCTAAGGGCTTGGGCTTTCTAATCCCAAAACTGAAGAAGTATCCCCACCCTATGAATGACCCCAGCTTGGACTCCAATAACACCATTTGTTCTAGAAATCCGACTTCCTTCCTTCATCCAACTTCTTTCATTTTTTAAAAAGATTTGTTTATTTATTTATGCATACAGAACTGGGATGCAGGCCAGATGAGAGGCTTCACCAGAGAAAGAGTGGGGAGCAGAACATGCAGATTGACAAAGTACACTGCTGAGGGGAGCAGCGGGTTGGTCAGGAGAGGTCTGCCGCGCCATGTGGATCACCTCCTGGGCTAGGGGTCGAACTCATGCTGAAGTGGCTTTAGCTTTTTAGTGCTGTGCTTTAACCTGCTGTGCCACCAGGAGGGCCCCCTTCCTTCATTTTATCCCAACTCTGTCCCCTTCTCTCCAACTGGCAGTATTTTAGCTAATTTAAGTTGGTTTATAGGATCCATGAGTTTCTTTCATTTGTTCAGCTACACTTTTGGTATTCTCTTCAAAGCAGATTTTGCGTTTTTGTAATAATGATAGGTTAAAAATATTCCAACTCTTTAGGTTCCGGTTCCTTTTTTGCTCAACTTGTACACATTATTAATTTCCACATTTTTAGGTTTTTTTTTTTTTTACAGCAACACCCCACTTGGTGGCAAAAATCTGTATGAGTTTGGATTCTCCAGAGGAACAGAACCAATATAATATATTGTATACAGAGATTTATTTTAAGGAATTGACTCATAGTGGAGGTATCTATCTAAAATCTGCAGGAAAGACTGATAGGCTTGAGACTCAAAGAAGAGTTGTAGTCAGAATGCACAGATGGTCGCTGGCAAAATCTTTTCTTACTCAAGGGTTGTCAGTCTTTGTTCTTTTAAGATCTTCAACTGATTCCTGAGGTCCACCTATGGAGGGTAATCTGCCTCATCATAGCCTACTAGCTTAAATGTTCATCTCATCGAAGATGATTGTATAAATATTCAAAGTAATGTTTGACCAACTATCTGGGCACTCTGATCCAGCCAAGTCAACAATAAAATTAACCTTTATAGTCCTTATTGCAGTTTTTATCTTCTTTTCCTTTTTAGGTCCCATTGAAATCAATCCGACATGTCAGCTTTCAAGATGAGGATGAGATTGTCAGAATAAACCCTCGAGATATCTTAATACGTCGCTATGCAGATTACAGACATCCTGACATGTGGAAAAATGACTTGGAGAGAGATGATACTGACTCCAATATTCAGTTTTCTAAACCAGACAGTAAAAAATCAGACTATCTGTACTCTTGTGAAGATGATACTAAGTTAAATTCATTCAAAGACCCTGTGGTATTTAAGACACAGCCTCCCTCATTAAAATTTAAATCAAAAAGAAGAAAAGAAGATGGTGAACGTTCTCGCTGCGTATACTGCCAGGAAAGGTTTAATCATGAAGAAAATGGCAGGGGAAAATGTCAGGATGCTCCAGACCCTATTAAAAGATGCATTTATCAAGTTAGTTGCATGCTCTGTGCAGAGAGCATGTTGTATCATTGTATGTCAGACTCAGAGGGAGATTTTTCTGATCCCTGTTCATGTGACACTAGCGATGACAAGTTCTGCTTACGATGGTTAGCTCTAGTAGCTTTGTCGTTCATTGTACCATGTATGTGCTGCTACGTCCCTTTAAGAATGTGCCATCGAGGTGGTGAGGCCTGTGGGTGCTGTGGTGGGAAACATAAAGCTGCTGGATGAAAGGATCCAGTGCCAAAATGAGCTTAAAATCTTTGTTTCCAGGAATTAGCTAACTTGGATTGTGGAAGCTTTTGGCAAGCACTATGAAGTCTTGCCTGGTATCATTGGGGCCACACGTGGAGGAAGCGGAACTCATCAGTTCTTGGCATTTCACAAACGCTAGCCATGTCTAACTTTTACCCTTAAGTGCATGGCGTGTTTTGTCACGGGTTGCAGAGTATTTGCAAAAGGAAACCATTTCTGGTCATTGGCTATAAAACATGAGCATAAAATATGACCCAATTAAAAGGGATTAATTTTCGACAGTTTTGTATATTTAAATATGCATTAGGTGATGGGACTTTTAAAGGTTTGAATTCATTAGGACATGCAGTAGGGGACAGTTGATTTCAGTCTAAGAAAAGTTAACACTTGGGAATTATAACAAGTAAAACAAGTGCAACTAAATCATTTATTAGTTGTTTTTTGAAAGCAGTTTTATGTATAAATAACAAATGTTTATATTTAACTAAATATAAGTAAGGTACGAATTATTACATATTAAACTTTTCTTCCCCTTCCTAGTTCTGAAGTAGATGTACATATATCTACTGTCACATTCCATTATATTTTGAATGTTTTACTCATCTAGTTAATAATGTTTTTATTCCACGTGAATTATTTGGTATTTTCATTCTCATTTCCCTTTGGCTACAGTTTATATTGAGTTATACCTGTACATTCTGGTAATCTGAAATCCTTAAAAATATTCTAATAGCCTTGAGTGACCAACTTTTTTTTTTTAAAGCACAGATGTACTTGTCTAATGTTCTGATGGTAACTTAACACTTATTTTTATATAAAAAAAGACTGAGTAAACATAGAAAAATGTGAGGTTTTTGGGGTTGTTGGTTTTGTGTATGTGTGTGTGTGGTATCCACCCAGCAAGTTGTTTTCTTTCAGAGTTTCCGCCTTCAAAAAAAATCATATTGCATTTACAAATGTTTCACAAGGCAAAAAGTGTAACTGGATAGTTAGTATAAAAGTTTCCTCCTGAGATCTTCATTTATCATTGTGTTAAACCAGAATATGTTCAGCTGTGTTACTAATATTTTAGCTTAATCCTTAATGCTTATTAATAAGAATGATAACTTTTCTCAGTTGCATTTTATTTTACTTAAACTGGCCCCAAAAAATTATTTTATGCTAAAATGTGTGCTAGATGATCCCAGGAAAATATTTAATCCAACATTGTGAGTGAAATAGCTTGTACATGTAAATTCATTTCTTTTGCAGAGCATTGTTACTGGATGTTCATTACAAAGTAGTTGGATAAATGTTCCAACTTTTTTTTTTTTTTTAAGAACTCTGAGATCAAGGTCAAATTGTCCTTTTTTTTTTTTTCTCCTAAGTGTTACATTACAACTCTAACCAAGTAAGGGGTTCTTTAAGAACATTCCCTTAGAGGGATAAAGTTAAGAAGTGTGCCTTTTTTTAATGGCTTGAAGTTTCAGAGGTGATAAAAATTAGAATCACACTACCATTTGAAGCTCATTTTCTATGCAGGTTTTAAATGTCATTTTATGTATCATTCTTTTTTACATATCACACTTAAACTTGTGTTAGCTTTCTTCTTTTGCCCTGATCAAACAGAACAATGTATATAACACTATCTGTCTGTAAAATACTTTTTTTAAGAAAGCATTTATATTTATATGACAGCTTGAACTGACATTATGTATATAGATCATCTTGAAGTATTATTTCACATTGAAAAGAAGAAAAATATATTGATAACTATAGATGTTATGAAGAAGAGGTTATTTCTAGTTTTGTACTAAAAATCAATTGGATGAACTAAATCCAAACATGACACTGTAGCAGCAATTTTAAGTCTTATTTTTACTGTTTATATATTTGGACGCTGCTACGCCAGATGATCTTCATCCCTGAAGTTTTCAGCTAAACTTGGTTTCCTAGAATAGACTGTTAACTTTCAAAATTACTTTTTATCAGTAAAATGGAAATACTGGTTTTCCTTATGAGTGACTTCATATTTGTAAGTGTTGAGCTTATAATTCAGGTTTGAGCAAGGTGTGAATCACTGAAGAAAATAACTTGCTGGACATATAGGAAAATGCTGTGGAAATGAACTGTATATATACTTCTGGGAAGAACAAATTTAATCATTTCTTCTGTTAAGCACTAATCAGTATAGTGCAACTCCTGGTTCTGTACTGTATTTTATATGCAACATATATGCTTTAATATTTTAATGTTTGTGCATTAATATTTTCAATTTGTTTAACCACTTTGCTGCTAAGAATTTGCCATCCCATCCCCATTTTTCCTTTACAATTTTAAACAAGTTTCTTCATTAAAAACTATGGTGATGAAATGGTTTTTATTTTACCTTGGATCTTTATAGTTAACACATCCAGTTTCCAAATCAGTCTTGAAGACTGGCTGATAATATGTATAACCTGAACCCCTATGTAGAAATTTTCTCTTGCATCAAAGAATCCTTATTTGAAAAGTAATAGGTAGTTTAAACTTCTGATTCTTAAAATGTGTGTGTAGGTACATTCAAGAACTTTTCTTGTTCTGAATTTAAGCTTGGCACTGCCAATTTGCTTTTCCTCTAAAACTTTCTCTTTGCTTTTAATGTGGTAGTATAAGCAAATGGCTAAACTAAACTGATAGGTAATTTTTTTAAATATTGAAAATGAAATTATGATGACATGACAAGAAAGACTTTGATCTGGCCTGATAGCTTTTGTTCAGAATTAATAATAACATTTTTTCCTACCTTGAAGGAGGAAAATCATTTGAGTTTTGAAGATATACGAGGTGTGGAACTTCAGCACCACCTTCTGGATGACTTATGGACCAGTGATATGATATGGTAATTGGGCCTGACAGGGTTCATTACCACTTTCAGTAAAGGGCTATATAAGTGGTGGCCACCTTCAAATTGAGAAAACAGGAGTAAGAAATATCTCAAAGGAACTGTAAAGTGAATCTTACCCCTAATGTGTCTTGGTTGTTGAAAGATTTCAAGCACTTTTTTTTCCTACATATCCTGTTTTAAAATATTTATTGATATTTGGAACTGGCAATCAAGCATAATGGATGTGCTAAAGCATTTATAGTGCTAAAGCATTTATAGACTCAATTCTTTTAATCACAAAAACCATTACCAAAATGGTATTATTTTTCCTCCCATTACCAGAGAGAGTTTTTTTAAAAAATAAACATCATCTATATTTCATCATAACTTAAGAAAGTCTGTTTGTATGTCTCTGGGATGATTGTTGAAATGGAGTTAAAAGGGGGAAATCTTGAAACTACCTACTATCATTGGTTATTCAGCAGTGCCTAAAACTTTTGAAGTAATACAAATGTACTTATTAATTCATGTGTATAGTGCCATCTGGTATCTTAGGTAAGTTACTTTTACTTTTCTCTCCCACCACTCAATTAAACACCCCAGAAATGGCTCTTATTATCCATGTAAAGACTCCTAAAAATGTTTCTTTTCTTAAAATGTAATTCAGGCTTTATTGTTTAACTTTGGAATGAATGTGTCTTAAGATTGGCTTTTTAAATTTTAGCCCAAAGATAAAATTAAGCACGTATTATAATTTTCTACTTAAAACATTAAAAACTCTAGTTACTTGAGTAACAAATTTCTTCACTAAATATTCTCATTTTTAATTTCTAAGAATCACATTTTTAAATATAAGGAAGAAACACTAGAAATTCACGTTATTGTTGCACTAAAAAATTTTTTCTTCCATAAACCACAGTAATATCACCATAAGGGGTTTTGCAATCACATGGACTCATACACACAGAAGGAAATTATAACCTGAGGTGATTAATATAAACCAAAAAAAGGGCTTTAAGGTATAAGGTACTTTTTGCCTAGCAGCCAGGTGGTTATAAAACTTTCATATGCTTTGATAGACTTGGTAAATGTTACCCATTGTCCTTGAAAGCTCCTTAAAATGCATAAGTTGCTAGTTTTTAAATTTTTTAAGAGTAGTCTAGTTAAAAAACCTTTGTATTAAAGATAAACATAGATTTTTGTGAACATTGCTAGTGTATAGTGTCATTTGCTTTCTATTCTTGACCTCAAAAGTGCCTCACTTGTATATAATATCCATTAGAAGCTTGACTGCATTCTTTCTAATAAGCAATGAAAATTGTTTAATTCATGTCATAATGTATCTCCTAAGTAGTTTACTAGCTTGATAGTTTTGGGTATTTAATGTAAATATGCATATATATATAAGTTTGTAACTGTTTTTGTTACATCATTCCCATGTAATTGGACATACCAGATGATATAAGAATTTGTTTTAATTACCTGATTAAACCTATCATGAAATATAAAAGGACTTTTTCTTACTCTTATGGAGCATAACAAACTATCAAATAAGAGATACAAAAGGCAGTAATAAAAAGAAAACTTTTGATCATAATTTTAAGATACATTTTTTAACAGAAAGATCATGTGTAGTTCATCCTGATGACTGACTTACTCATCTTTGTATCCAAATTTTTACCTAGTCTTGTTACCTAATCAGTATATTTACCCGTTTGGCAACAATTAGTTAAAATAAGTCTGGATTCCTTAAATTATGGATGTGAAATTTTTGCTCCCAAAAACAACTACTGAATTTTTAGTACCCAAGTCAGTTTCAGAGTTTCATTTACCTTGTAATATATGCAAAAATAATCCAAATAAAAATAGGGTAACATTTTGAAGAATCAGTGTATTCCAACACCAGAATAACTTTTTACTGTATTACTATACTTATTTGAAAAAATCAAGAATTAGTTATCTATACCTTTACTGTGAATTATGAAATGTAGTCTCGTGCTTATTTACAAGTTTTCAGAAATCTGCTTTATATTCCACATCAAGTTAGTATTAACAATTAGGTAGAATAGTTTTTACATCAGAAACTGAAACTAGGGTTCCTACTTAACTGTCAGTATAGTGTCAAGCACACAGTGGTCCTTAAAAGTAAAAAATAATTGGTATCAATACAAAAATGGGTCATTTCCTTTGAAATTAACTGCTCTGAGATTTGCAGTTTTAGATTTATCATTGAAATTATGGTTCAAAAATATAATAAAAGTCTAACAAAATTATAGTCAAAATGGTGTTTTGTTTTGTATATAGTATTTCTGAAATATATTTTAAATAATCACTTTTAATCTTCAAATGACCCTATAACTGCTTAATTACTCTCATTTTACTAAAAAGATTGTGGATTCAAAAGGTTAAGAAATATTCCCAAGATCACATAAGAGGCAATGGGGATTCAACCAAGTTTTTCTTAATCCAGTAGTTTTAGTCAAAATGCATCTTGCTTTTAGTTATGGGGCATTGTAGGTGTGCTTCATAGGACAATCATTTTTTTGTTAACATTTTATTTGCCATTTTATAAGGGAATTCTTTCTTAATTTTTTTCTGAATCTTCTCTCATTTCTGAATCTCCCCTATTCATCTATCTCATTAGGCTGTGAAACTATTCACAGAATTATATATGAAAATTGAAAGAATAAAATTGTGATGATGCATCAAGATAAATGATGTGTTCTGACTTGATAAAAAGCACTAAAGAAATATATTCCAATGCGTGGTATTGTTCATTTTGCTAGATTAGAGGCATTTCCTTAAAGATTTCAGTCTGTTAGGTATTTTTCACCAAAGCAGTGTGCTGCTCCCTGTTTGTGGTATTGGAAAACTGCTCTCAGAAAACTCTTGTGCTTTTCAAATGAGAACTTTTCTTATGTCAGTTAATCCTCCAAGTCCATCTTTGAAGTGGTTGAATTTAGTAATAGGGCTACTTCTTACTGTGTGTCCTCTCTTCCCTCAAATTTAACTTTAACCTGGAAATAATTTACAACAACCAAGAAGCTATGTACAGTTGGGGGGGCAGGAGAGAGGTAGCAGGAAGATCAGAATTTCTAATATTGAAACAAAAAACTTTGTATGACACAACTTTAGGAGGCCTGTTTAACTTTCATTTCCATTACTTAATTTTGCATAGCCAAGTTGCAAGCTTTTAATTTAAATATTTTTCTTTATAAAATATGTATGATATGAGAGATTTTATGAATGTTACTTGTCAAATGTAAACTCCTTTTTGTGTGCTGCATATTTTCCTCCTTTTCCTTCTTACAGGAATGTAACTTTCTCCAAAGCTAAGAGCGGACTTAATGGGGATAAACTTCTGATAGTATGATTATTTAAAAAAAAAAATTCTTGCCAAGAGTGGCGAACAAGCTGAAATGTGTGTCTTTAATCAGTAGGAGAAGCTAATGTTTCATTATCTTAACCTTTAAGAGAAAAGTAGCCCGCAGCTAGTCAATATTCTTTGTTACAATCCTTGTTAAAATATCAAAATAAAAGGCACACATAGCATGGTATTCCAAAATTCTAAAAATAAAATAAGGACCTAAACTAAGTTAATATTACTGATAACGTTAAGTCCACTGACCTTTTAGGCCTGGAAAGTACTTTAGCGACTAGTATAAGACCTTTGAATTACAAATGTAAAAACAGACCCATGGAGGTCATGATATTAGTGCAGGGTAATTCACCAATAGTTTTCACTTTACACTCATACATTCAGCTGCCTAAAGTGCATCTCTGCGGGCACCTCAAATTCCAATGTGTTCCAAGCTGATGACCCCCATTCCTCAAACCTTTTTTTCTCTATCTTGATGAATGATGATATAACTGCCTATCTACAATTTAAGAAAGAAACCTAGTCATCCTTTTCATTTTCACCATCCATTCTCAATTCTAGTTCTGTTTCTAAAGTGTCCCTCAAGTGCATTTTTCTCACTGCTGCTACCCTTGTGGAAGATATATCACCCTGACATTAGGACTTAGGTAATCACTTGCATGTCTTTATTTTCAGTGGAAGATTGTGAGAGAAATCTTCTAGAAGGTTTGGAACAAGGACATTTTGTAACCTGACAGCTATGTGATCTGTTATTCTTAAAATAGGAAATCCATTACTGGATTCAGATGTCAAACATTTGTACTGCTTTCAACTTTGTTTTGACCAGTACCCTGAAATGTCTCTAACCAGTTGATGTTTCTTAAGTCAGTGTCACCTCACAGAACATCTTATAACACATCCTTCACTTCCTTGACATTAAGTGTATTGGTTTCTTCCTATTTTACTGGTCTCTTTTCTCTTGGCTAGATCTTCCACTTTCTACCAGTAATAGATTTTCTCTTCTCTAGCAATACCTGCCTCCTAGGGGATCTCATCCAATCTCATAGTTACCTATCACACATATGTTGATGGTCTCTACATGTACAAGTCTGGATATACAAAACTGAAGAGTTTACTACCATATACCCAGTGACATGCCCTAGGATAAATGAAAGGTAATTAAACATACTACGAATACTCACATCATACCCCCAAAATGTGAATTTTATGCTGAGTATTATAAATATCCATTAGTAGAAAAGAGGGCCACTTTATCAGATTGTATTTTAAGTGGTTATTAAATTATCCAGCGAACATTAAGGGCATACCAGGGTGAGCAAGATGTAGCACAATATGCTCAGCAACTAAATCAGAGTTAAAAAATTATGTACAGAAAATGTTTAGGTGGAATATGGAACACCTGGATGGCCAATAACAGGTTAAAAAAAAAAAGTGACTTTTGAGACAAAACCCAAATGCCAATAAGAAGCATTCCATGTAAAATTAGAAGTGCATTCCAGGAATAGGGAACAGTTTTGCTAAGTGCTCTGACTTCTACTTGGTATTTAAGAAGGCAACATTTCCCTGCCCTCTTGTAGGTAGGTAGGTTTATGAACAAGATCTGAAAATATGCAGTGAGAGGATGTGATAGAAATAATTTCTAGGCTAATGTAAATCTTCTAATTCTCTACTAACACAATCATGGGTGTGCTGCATGCTGAATTGGTACATCGAAGTTGAGGCAGTTTAAATTACTGAGACCCTTCATGAACAACAGTTAGCCCCAGAGCATTACATAAATAAGCCCCACTGAATACCTTGGGTGATTTGGGGATTGTGTATTACAGTGACATAATTATCTTCTCCTGTCTAATGCAGGCCCTAGGTGAGAACAAGCTTTGTGGTTTAGTGGAAGAACTAGAAGGTCAGAGTAGGTGCAGCATGGACATGGGGAGCCAGTGCCAGGTCATCTAAGCTTTATAACCAAGGTAAGAAGTTTTAATTTTATTCCAAATATGTGAGGAAGTAATTGAAGGGGTTTAAGTGGGAAATAATGTTATATAGTTTATAATTCTAAAGGAGTACTTTGGTAATGAGAACTAAAGGAGGGTGTCAAAACAGAAAGGAAAAAAAATAGTCTTCATGAGTTGTTTGTATCAGAGTAGTGGTAGTGAGGATGAAGGGAAGTGGACAGATCCTACATGTTTGGGAGGACACATCAGAAAGACTTATTACTGAATTGGATTGAATGGAGTATACAAGAAAAGTAAACCAGCAAGAGAATTATCATTGGACTTGAGTCTAGGGTGTTGATGTTGATGTGGGCAGGCTTGGGGAAGTAGCAAATCTTTCAGCAGAGTGAAAGTCAGTTTTGAAAAAATAAAATTTATAAACCTTTGCAAGACTGGATCAAATAAATAAGGGACAAATATACAATGTTAGAATTCTATAGCAAACAAAAATAGATTTCAAAAACAAAGGTGAAATAAAGACTTGTTCAGATACATGAAAACTGAAAGAATCCATCACTAAAACACCCACATTGCAATAAATGAAGGATATTTCAGCCAGAATAAAAGTGATAGAGATGAAAATCTGGATATAAACAAAGACATGAAGAACACTGGAAGGGGTAACATTTATACCCCTTTAGTTATTCATATAAATGCATACAAACACAATTATTTGTATTTAGTTCTTTTTAAATGAATATTGACTAACCAAAAAATGAAAATACCATAGTGTGGGGTTTGTAATGGATATAGAAATAAAATGTACAACAATAGCATGAAATCTGCAAGGTGAGATATGAAGTTACATAATCCCTAGACAAGTAAGCAGACTATAAATTCAAAAGTAACTTGTAAATGACCTTGTATTTGAGGACTGGGAAGTTCCTACGGTGAATATGCAATAAATACTAACTTCAAAGAAAAATAGTAAAGATCTCCCCTGTGTACAAAGGAGATAGCCTCATACATTATTAGACCAGAAATTTTTAGTTCAGCAGACCAGGTCCCACTTATTAAGGTGTTTCCTTAGAGATCCCAATCACCTGATCCTGGGCTAATATTAGCACAGGTCCTTAGAAAATTTTATATTCCCAGTCCAGGGCAATTTTTTCATGAATACATCAAGTCTTCCCTAACAAAGTATACTATCTCTTCAGTAGGTACTAAATGTTATCTAAATGTTTACCCTTCAGTTCCAAAGTGTACTCTGTTTGATTTGTATCTCTGCTTAGAAGTTCATTACATATTTGCTGAATAAATGGGTGGTTGGCTACCTGTCATTTGGCTACCTGGAAACAGTATGAATGAGTCATAGGCGTGGGAGTGGCCCCTACAATCTCCCTTCACTCCCACTCCACCACAGTTCAATATCTTCTCAGCACTTGTTATGTGATTGGGCAGTATGTGCCTAACTTCTTTTAATAGCATCATGACACTGCTCCTTCTGCTTTTTTGTCATATTCACTCCAATCTCAAATAGCAAAATTATCTGTACTCACTTTTAATAACTTGTTCATCAAATATTACTGCCTGTTCTGCACAGACCTTTGATGTCCCATGAAAACTCATTCCCCACTCCCAATGCTGAATTAAAGTACACTTCTTGCTTCAATTACTTACCAGTGGTAGAGTTGCACTCTGAAGACATACTGAACAGATTTTTGAAGGTGTAATTTTTTTTATAATATAATAGTTTATTTTTACATCATTTTGTACATTTTTTTCATCTCAATTGTAACCCCCATGGGTTTCCCATCACCAAGTCACCCATATGCCATCACCATAGTCCCATGCACTTCCC